AAAAAAATAAATATACTTTTATCTTATCCCTTAAATATATAAGATTGAAAAATCCTATTTAAAAATGCATGCATGCCAATGCCACCATTCTCTTTTAGGGAATCTCTCACCATAATTTAATGCACTTAGCTAAGCCTGTTTGTCATTTTGTAAGGCACTCTATTACCTTTTAAAAAACATGGAATGCGTGGCCTTTCCTCTTTTTCTGGGGAGCACCTTTCCCTCCACGTTATGTTTTCTTGGTTGGAAACTTGGATAACTCTCTATGCTTCACATTTTTTCTTTGTAATTTTCTGTTTCATCAAGAAGAAGTTATCTAAGTTGGTACCTCATTAATTTAAAAAAATTTAATTTAAAATGAAAGTTAAGAATTTAAATATCTTTATAATACGAAATAATTAACTATTTAATGTACCAAACAAAAAAATTTTCTTTTAAAATGATTTATTTATTTTTTAAAGTTCTTCTTGTTACTAAATATGCGTTGTCTATATTGGTTATCTACTACTTTCTATTCTCAAAAAGTCTAGTATTGTAACCCAAAATGAGATTTCAAGTAAGAAAATGATGTGTGCACACCCGAGTCAACACTCGGGTCAATACTTGGGTGTGCGCACTCCCCATTGAAAAAAAAAAAACACATCACCACCCGATCCAATATTTTTTTTTTTATGTGGGAGTGCACATTCAAGTGTTGGATCCAGGTGTGCACCAATCAAGGTCCTTTCAAGTATTAATGTTCATTCTACTTTTAGATATTTATTGAAATTTCTTTGTTATTGTAGAAGTCCAAAATAAAATAGCTGAACAAATTAATGGAGCATTGTTAATAAATTATGAAAAATTTAAATTACAAGAGCTTTTTCTATTTTCTTTGATCGATAACCATAGATTTAACTGCAAGAAGAAGCAGCACACCCCACCTAATTTGCTATAGATAGAGTGTTAAGATCAACTCAAACAAACCACAAATCATAAACCCAACATGCTTAAAGTAAATTTTCGTTGACATTACACCGAACCTGCGCAACCACCAAATTCTTACAATTAGTGGCAACCAAATGAGGTTCAAACACCCCAATCACCCTATATATGGTTGTTCTTGTTAGGAACAAATCTCATTCATCTTAATTAACGAAAAGAACAATGATAGTGAGGACTACATTTTTAAATTGATTTTAGGATGAATTTATATAAAATTTTTTAATTTGTGTCCTATGTAATTAATTAATACACCTTTTTAAAATTAGTTGGTACTGAAAATGACAAAACCTTATTTTAATTTTATTATCTATGCCATGAAAATCATTTTAATTAGACAATTAATTAAATAAATATCAACTTTTATTTTTTTCCTAAAAGTACAAATTAAAAAAACTCCCTTTATATATATGGTAAATATTGATCTTGATATAAACTTTATATAAATTCTCATAATCAACTATTAAAATAATTTTATCTTAAAATTTAAGTCGTCTTTAGAATCAATACTCTAATAAAAATGTTTTTAAAAAATGCCTTCAAGGTTGGCAAGCATTAATGTGTCAGATTATGGCTTGTTTTTCTGCGAAGAATATGGGGGAAATTTTATAATAATCGAGAATACCATAAAATGGCATTCACATTAGTGCGAATATATAAAACTGGAGAAGATGACTAGAAAGCAGAGAGCATGAAGCACATGAAGTCACGCTCAGCAAATGTTCATCATTGTCAATGATGAGTTGCTCTACCTCTACTTTTCTAGAAAAGGATTTGGATGATTAATGGATGGATAGTACAGTCCACTTGTTGATGACCTCCATAATATTCTCCTTCGCATTGCTTTTGTGGGCACAGCTATGATGAGCTGTTTAAATTTTGAAATTTGATGCATATGAAATAGATTTAATTATAAAAAAGACATTATTTTCCCCTTAAAAAATCTTTCCCAAACCCTTCTTTTTATTAACTAAACCCAAAATATATTCTATGTACATACCTTTTGTTTATTTCAGTTGTTATTTTAAATTTTTTACATGTAATTCTAATTTTTTTTTGTTACGAATTGAATAATTCTCTTCATTTTAAATCTCCATCTTTTATTTCAAAATTTAAATTTTAGATGATAAAGTTGCACTACTTAAAAAAAATTAAGATAGAAACTATTTCAAACAAGTAAAAACTTTAAAGTTATTTTGTTTGAAATTATAAAAAAAAAAATAATTCAAACAAATTCTTTATCTAAGAAAAAACCCTTCTAGTAGTAGTGATATAGCCCTCTAGAGACAATTAAAATTAAAATTTTTATATGTAATTCTTGTTAAATAATTTTATTCATAGAAAAATTTTACAATTTTAACTTATATACTATATAGAAGCATTATTTATAATTGTGAGTAATCTGGCAATGTTCATCAAAACCCATATTTTTCAAGAAATACAAGAAATAAATCTATGAAAAGTTATACCGTTTTTCAAGAATGTTGGATAATCTTTTAGTGTGTAGACACATCTCCTTGTGAATTTACACGGGAATGGAGGACGTACATTGGAAATTTGCAAAGCTTGTAGCTTAAACAGCAGCTTTTGTTACGCACACACATCTCTCCTTGTTCCAAGTGAGAGCATTTTTACACTGTCTTAATTAGTTGACAACCATTTCTCCACGTTTCAACCTTTTCTTAAGTTTGAAGTTTCAATGTGTGTGAAGTACATTAGAGAAAGCGATACGAGAAGAAGAAGTGACCATCATGGAACACAGGCCAGGCATCTCGTGTCTGCCGACAACGTAAACCCCACGAAAACCACTCAGTGAACATCAATGCCTAATATCTTATAAATTTTGTATTCGCCGATGCCATCAATGATGCCAAATATTAACGGTAAGGAGCATGATGAGGCCCCTGCAATTGGAGCGTAAACAAGAAAATTGATTGCTGTGATTTTCTCAATTCCAAGGGGTCAACCCCTGCCCCCCCATTCCACACGGCGTTTTTGCCCTCTCATGGTCAAATATGATGTCATTAATGATAAAAGAAAGTGTTATTAACCCTTAATTTTTTTCGTATGTATGTGAAATATATATTAGGTATACATTACATATTACCACAATTTCACATCGAGTTCCAACTTGTATTAATGGAATTCAAACACACAACTTTGAGATATATTATAAGGGCTCGATTTTTGTTCACTAACCCTTTACTAATTATTTTTAGATGTGCGTGTAAATCTCAATAAAATAGTTTATGCTCATTTTAATTTAATTTAAGTATTAACTTTATTTACTTAACATATAATGAAAGTGAAATTAAAATGTTGTAATAATATTTAATATTTTATTTAAATAAAAAAGAATAATGATAGGGAGGACAATAATTTAAAATGAAAGTTTAGGATCAATAACATAATTTATACCATATTATTAAATTAGTTGATACATATAATATCATGAATATTAAAAAAATAAAATAAGTTAATTATTAAATAATATAAATTTTATTTTTTAATATTTTAAATAATGTGATTTATGTCACATTATTAATTTTAAACTTTTATTTAATTTACTATTATTCAATAAAAAATAAAATAATTAAATCAAACTATCTACATTTAAAAAAAAAATTAGATAATTTAAATAAGATGGGAGGGAATATATTTTTCTCCTTGATATTCTAGTTGTTGGGAGATTCTGTCAAAATAGTTAATGCCCCCACAAGGGGGCTGGCCTGTGTCACGCCTTGCGTTATAAAACCATGATAGTCCACCGCCGGAAACGTAAAAGTTTTTGATTTGACTTTCGAGTAACGTTATGGCATTGAGTTTGTTACAAGATATCGGAGAAGCAACCCGAATCCTTTGCTCTTTATGAAAGAGTGAATAATTAATGGAACA